AGAAGTTGGTCTTGGGAGATTTCCATACCTTTAGCCCTACTTCATTTTTCAATGGTCTTAGCCTCATCTTTCCACTAGGTCTTCACTGTAACTGAGGACCAGGCTCCAAGACTGCTGTAATCAAGTCTCCTTAATATTATACTATCCCAGGGGCCCAGAAGGGATGCTACCATCAGCATGGGAATGAATCCAGATGCACAAAGCTCTTTCGTCCAATTCATTTATTTGTCTGCCACCATCATTCGGCCACCAATTCAGCTCTCTCAGTTCAACTCTCTCAATTCAATCCTCTCAATTCAACTCTCCTTATTCTCTCAGGACTGGTCTATATCTTTTCCCAAACAGCAACACCTCATGCTTAGTATACAACACAAGATTGCAAGGTCCCCACCAGAAGCTTCCTGGTATTTATTTGCAACCCAAAAGGGGAGAAAACAAGAGTAGAGTCAGATAGGAGTTGAAATAAATCAGAAAAGGAACTTATGTGCTAGAAATATATTCTTACTGTGGTTAGGTGAAAGCATTATGAGTCTATCATAAATTTATTCAACTACAAATTTATAGGTAATAGGGTAGGAAAAATCTGTAGGTCACTAAAAGTTAAAACTGTCACTATTTTCCTCTGCTGCCAATTTCCTGACAGGATGGGACAGGAGTACTAATAGCTAGTCAATCTGTACCACAACTTAAAGTACCTGGTGAGAGGAAACCCCTTTGATCTAAGAAGTTGCTCTGGGGCAGTGAGAAAGAGGGGAAGACCTGAACTTGATTTGCACAAGAAACAAAGCTATGCATCTAGGGGACAGGCACTTGGCCTGGGAGACATGTTGTCTCCAAAAGGATGTTTTATCTTGGTTCAGGTGTCTAGCAGGTGGTCTGGTAACTATCTGTTCCTTGCTTGCCTTTTAAGGCTTTGTTTGGAGTTGGCCCTATCTTAGAAAGTAACTTAGGGAGGATATTTGCAAAAGGCAGATACCCAAAACAAATGCTAAAGAGGAGCCAGGAGTCCAGAGGCAGAAGTCCTGCTATCTAGTTATTCTATCTTAAATTAACCCATTTCTATTAGTCTGTCTTTATCCAAATATTTTGAAACAGAGATTTACACACACACATACACATTTTAGGAGAATTATGAGCACAAGGAATTCATAGCAAGGCACAGCTGAATATTAAGCTGTGTAACACCAAATAGTCCCTGCTAAACGGTTTCCCACTTGACTGACCCTTGGTCTGGTCAAAGTATAACTTAAAATATACAGCTGGACTTCTATTTCATAGTCCTGGGGCTCACCACAAGTCTCTCCAGTCTTGAGGGATAATTCTGTTACAAGTTGACCATAAGTTTAACATATGCTTCACAAAAGGTGAATACATGCTGTATGAGACTATCACTTCCTTGAATCTGTGTAGCCAGAGTTTTCCTGGTCTTGCCTGGCCCATGGTCAGGACAAATCTCTCTTACCCACCAGTCCCACAGCCTCTCAGACCCAACCAAGTAAACACACAGAGATTTATATTGCTTTTAAACTATATGGCCGTGGCAGGTTTCCTGCTATCTAGTTATTCTATCTTAAATTAACCCATTTCTATTAGTCTGTAAGTTGCCATGTGTCTCGTGGCTTACCAGTACCTTACATCTCACTTGTCATGGCAGCAGCTGGCAGCATCTCTCTGCTTCAGCCTTCCACTTCCCAGAATTCTCCTCTCTCCTTGTCCTGCCTATACTTCCTGCCTGGCTACTGGCCAATCAGTGTTTTATTTCTTTTTTTTTTTTGTGTGTGTGTGTAGCTTTGCGCCTTTCCTGGAACTCACTTGGTAGTCCAGGCTGGCCTTGAACTCACAGAGATCCGCCTGGCTCTGCCTCCCGAGTGCTGGGATTAAAGGTGTGCGCCACCGCCGCCCGGCCAGTGTTTTATTTCTTAACCAATCAGAGCAACACATTTAACATACAGAACATCCCACAGAAAATCTCCTCAAATCTAACATTTGCACAGGAGTCCATTCAGCTCTTACACAGCCTTGAGGATATCTATCATTTGTCAGTTCCTGTAAGGTTACTGGATAAATTAAGGTTGGCTATTTGAAAACCTTAGGCTGTTCCTCTGTAACTTTATAATGCAATGCTGAGATTGGTTGTCCTTTAAATTCTTCTGTCTGGGTGTGAATACCTCTATGATCTGTTTTAGTAAGTTTTTCTAAAACTTTTATCTTGGTGCTTATATTACCCAACTGCTGTGGGATGTCTTTCTGTATGCTGTGAATATGTGTTGCTCTGATTGGTTGATAAATAAACCACTGATTGGCTAGTAGCCAGACAGGAAATATAGGTGGGGCAAGCAGACAAAGAGAATTCTGGGAAGAGGAAGGGCTGAGTCAGGAGTCGCCAGCCAGACACAGAGGAAGCAAGATGATAAAGCAGAACTGAGAAAAGGTACCAAGCCACATGGCTAAACATAAATAAGAATTATGGGCTAATTTAAGTGTAAGAGCTAGTCAGTAACAAGCCTGAGCTAGTGGCTAAGCAGTTATAATTAATATAAGTTTCTAAGTGATTATTTAATAAGCAGGTCATGGAACTGCAGAGGCCTGGCAGGACCAGAGAAACATTTGTCCTACAACCAACTTTTTTAATGATAAAACAAAAATGAATAAACAGATAATATTTATAATTGACATTACATAAATCCCATCTAAATTAATTATCCTCTTGTTTAATTGCTTGATTTTCAAACCATACAGTGTCTCATCACACAGAGACCTAATTCCCTCCATTGTAATAGTGTTCCCCATTTTTTAATATGGGGAAAAAAACTCTTTTAACTTATCCCTCCCATTAAGAAATGCCAAATGTCTCAACAAATCTGCTGACAATGATGATTCAGATGTGAAGCTGACTGCTTCTGCATAGAACAGTGGAAGCCTGAGCAAGTTTCAGCTACCTAGTGTGGTAGTAGCCTGAGGAGGGGGTCCAGGGAGAGTTCACAACCCACCGGGAGAGAAGAAGCCAAAGAGACAGCCATCTGCATGGGGGAATGTCCGAAAGCAGCTAACTCCTGTTGTTTTTGGAGCCCAAAGGCCTATAGAGTTTGCTGCAGATAGGCTCCAACGGAAACTTCAGCGGGATAGTGACTCTGGTCACGTGCAGCTCTGGCCTGTGCCAGTGGCTGCAAAGCCACAGGCAAGTGGCTTTTTAGTGAATTCATGCCCCAAAAGTTGGACATTAGATATAGCACGAATCCTAATTGGCTTTAATAATGAAAACCCAAATTCAGATCTAGGGGTAAATGCTGAAAGATCAGAGAGACAAACAAGCAAGCTACAGTCACTTTTTACCTTTACCAAATCTGCCTGAAAGGGCCTGAGCTCCTGTCTCTTCCTGCCTTATAGGTCCTCTCTCTGCCCAACCATATCACTTCCTGTCTTCACCTCCCTAGTGCTGGGATTAAAGGCATGAAATCCCAAGTGCTGGAATCAAAGGTGTGTGCCACCACTGCCTGTCTCTGTTTCTCTTTTAGACTAGTGTCAGGGAACCCATCCCATTTTTTTCCCAGGGTACTCTTGAGGAGAAAAGGATAAGAGATATTAGGCAGGAGGATAGAGGTGAGAGAAACAGATAGAAACACAGGATAGCTTCAGGACAGACTGGATCAATATCCATTGGGCCGGGCGGTGGTGGCCCACGCCTTTAATCCCAGCACTTGGGAGGCAGAGACAGGTGGATCAGTGAGTTCGAGGCCAGCCTGGTCTCCAAAGTGAGTTCCAGGAAAGGTGCAAAGCTACACAGAGAAACCCTGTCTCAAAAAACCAAAAAAAAAAAAAAAAAAAAAAAATCCATTGGCTCCTTCTGTCTCTCCTAAAGAGTCTTTTACAGGAATGCCAAGGGGTGGAACAAAAGACCTCCCCCAGCACAGCCAAGTGCAGACCCTTCCAATCACCTGGTAAAACCATACATGTGGTCAAGCAATTCTCTAATGCAGCCCTGCTGGGTAAAGCAAGCTCAGATCTCACTAGGAAACCTTTGTGGGCCTCCATAGACTGGATCAATCTTGTGTAGCCCAGGGTGGCCTTGAACTCACAGAGATCTGTCAGCCTCTGTTTCCTGAGTGCTGGGATTAAAGTTGTGTGCCACCACTGCCTGGCCTCCATGGCCAACTAGTGGCTTAGCTCTGCACTCTGATAATCAGGCAAGCTTTATTTGTTAAATCACAAACAAAATACTACCACAACAATGTTCTATTTTATAAGAACAGAAATGAAGCCTAGAAAGGATAAGAAATTATCTTGTAGGTAACAGAGTTTAGAGTAGGATTAAAACAGGGTAGGGATTAAAGGTAAAAATTTCCCCCACAGACTCATATATTTGAACATGTGGTACTCAGATGGGTAGCTCTGTTTTGGGAGTTATGGAAACTTATGGACAGATGGAAATTTCTGTGGATCAGGCTTTAGGGATATAGCCGGTCCTTGGTTCCAGTCCCTTCTCTGTTTCCTGAATGCCACCATGAGGATATGGCTTATAGACCATAAGACCTGCTTTGTGGTAGGAATGTGGACAAGTCTGCAGCTGAGTGCTAGAGAAGAATGCTGTGGGCAGAGCTTAATGACTCATGCTACTGTAAGTGCAGAAGACAGCATGACAATTGAAACAGACAAGAAAAGGCTGACCCAGGAGACTGGAAAGCAAAGGGTCTGTTGTGAACTGAGATATAAGCCATTTGTGTTACATTCTGGCAAAGGATCTATATTCTATATCCTGAAATTTAAAATGAGGCTTAATGCAAATGAAGAAGATTGATGTGTGTGTGTGTGTGTGTGTATGTGTGTGTGTGTGTGTGTGTGTGTGTGTGTGTGTTTTGAAGAAATTTCACAAGGGAAAACAAATTTCTTTAGAAGAACATTACGTATTTGTTTAGAAGGCACGTGCACTGTATGCTATTGAACAGTTTCAATTACATGAATCCTTGTGTATATTGAGAGAGTGCACTCTAACTTCTCTGTAGGAGTGTCCTGCACTTTGCCTGCTTCTATGGATATCCAGACCTGGTGAAATACCTCTGGAGGCGTGGCTGTGAGATTAATGCATGTGACAATCATAACATCACACCCCTGATGAAGGTAGACCATAGCCATCATTTTAAGTATGGGATGCTTTTAATTGAAGTAAAAACGAATTCATCTCATGTAAATATAATTAATTGGTGAAACCCATGCGTGTGTATTGTAAATTCTTTAAGTTGACCATGTGCTTCTTATTACTATTCCTCCAGGCTGTCCAAAGCTGGGAAGAGGAAATCGTGTGTTTTCTGCTAGAGCATCATGCTAACCTGCACATTAAAGACAGCAATGGTAATACTGCTCTCCACTATGCAGTCTATGGTGGGGAGCCAGCCCTGGCTGCCAGGCTGCTACAGTATGGAGCAAATATTGAGGAAAGAACAAAAGTAAGGATCACTCTGCTTAGAAACTCCTGGGATGTTTGCAGGGCTAGTCACCCATGTTTAGAAGCTCACTTCATTTTCTGAGTGACAATGCTTAGACATTTGGAAGGGAAACCATTTGAAGTATTGATACTTTGGAAGGTGCAGCTTTCTTCTGTACATTCAGGACAAATGTATGTGAAAACACTGAATTTGTTAAAGGTGAGATTTGTGTTTTATTCAATAATCTTTTAAACATTTTTTTGGTAAAAATTAAGAATCAACACAATAAAGCAGTATTAGCCTTGCAAATAAGCACCATCTCAAAACTCAACCAAAACCCAAGTATTTTGAATGAAGCGGAAACATTAATGCTGTTGACAAGTTCTGTCTGTCAGTCACTTATCTAGTCATGGTAGTTCTAATGGGAGAATAATGGAAACAGAAATTAAGTAGAAATACTCAGGCCAATGTGGAAGTTATGTAATCAACACAAAATGCCCAGAAGGCTTTGTTAATTGTTAGCATTTTTCCAAGTTTCTTTGCATGGATGGGGTATTCTTCAGCTTTCAATTCATTTTAAGTTGGAATTACTGAGAGTAGGGGATCATCAAGAACATATGGTTTGAATTTTTGATTTATGAAGAGGCTGTAAGGAAGACAGAGCATAAAGATTGGCCCTAGTAGGGGTGCTATACTTAAATTTAATCTCATAAAATAGCTTTGGAATATTCATCACAATAATGTGATGTTATTTGCAGAGAAAGGTAATAGATTTGACTATTTTTGTTGTTATTATTTTTGAGATTGTAATTTAGTTACAAGTTTCTCCCTTTCCTCCCTCCAAATCCTCCCATAAAGCCCTCCCCTTCTCATTCAAATTCACGACCCATTTTTCATTGTTATTACATATACAAATGCATATACATATACATATATTCATAAGTATAACCTATTTAGTCCATATAATGTTATGTTGTATAATGTGTATGTATGTTTTCAGGGCTGACTATTTGGCACCCAACAACCACTGGTGTGTTCTTCCCTGGGGAGGACCACCTCTCCTGCCCACAGCTTTACTCAGTTGTCTGTAAACAACCATTGGTGTGCTCTTCCCTGGGGAGGACCACCTCTCCCGCCCCAGCTTTACTCAACTGTCTGTAAACAACCATTGGTGTGCTCTTCCCTGGGGAGGACCACCTCTCCTGCCCCCAGCTTTACTCAGTTGCCTGTATTTCTTTGTGTAGGGTTGAGGCCCCTTGAGCTTTGTCCCATCCAGTTTGGCACATTCATTGGTGTTACCCTTGTTCAGCACACATTTTGGGCCATCATGTTGGTGGGATTTTATGGGTGCAACTTCTGATGTTCCTAGAAGACAATCTCACGACAAACTCCTTGATCCTCTGGCTCTTACAGTCTTTTTGCCCTGTCTGCAGCAATGTTTCCTGAGCTTCAGGTGTGGGAATATTTTGTAGATGTAGCTGTTGGGACTGGGCTACACAACTCTGCATTTGGATTGGTTGTGGTTTTCTGTAGTGCTGTGTGTTGCAAAGAGAAGTTTCCTTGGTGAGGTATGAAGACTACGCTTCTTTGTTGATACAGAGAAGACGGTAGGAAGAGGGTGAAGGGGAATAGCAGGATGCAAGTGATCCAACAGAGAAAAGGGGGAAAAAGGGGTCTTCTTAGTGGGGAGGCAGGTAAATACAGATTGGGCTATTAAAAGGCAATATAATTTTGCCTTTGGACCTCTAACATTCTAACTCTCCACAATTAGAGATGTAACAGCAAGGATACAGTTTGTAGAAGTTGCAGCAGATGCAGCTGCTCTTCCAAGCCTCAGCTTGTCATAAATAGCAGCTCGTGTCCCACTGTAGCCAGGAGCTTATCCTGGAATCTGATGAGGCTGCAACATCAGGAAGGCAGATCTTCAGGGGAGAGAAATAATTATCGAAGACTACTAAGGAAGAAACTTCTGGATCCTATTAGCCGTACTGTAATTCAGGTTAATTAGTTAATTTTGTCCTCTGTATCTGATATAGCATTGATATAACAGAAATATTATAGCTAGCATTAAAATAATTAAAAACATCATTTCTGAAAGGAGCAAAGATAACAGATGAAAGAGACTGGTGCTTTGAATTAAGCTGGATAAGCACTGTAGACATGGAGTTAAGGCTAGTGGGGTGGCACTCGAATTGACTTGACCTATTTCATACATATACATAGGAATGTGGGTGTCTCCAAAACTGGGGGCTTTGTTGTTGTGTTAATTTAGAATTAGATCTCTTTCACTCAAAGTACACTGAATAAGAAAATTCTTTAACAAAACAGCGGGAACATTTGAATCTTAAGGTGAGGAAAACACTTGAATCTTTTTAAACATGAAAACTTGACTTAAATAAGGCAGGGGTTCTGGCTAAACAGACAGTTCTATCAAAAACACTATTAAAGTGAGGACATGATATCACTTTCATCTGTCCCAAAGTGGCAGACAGAAGTTTGAGGACAGAGAGATGTGAGTGGGGTGCCTCAGCTCCAAAAGATAGTCTGGGCAGACAGAGGAAAGTGAGAGTCCTCGGAGAGTTTTGCTATAGAGGACAAGAATTGTTGTAGCCCTCTTGTTTGAAAGCCACTTGCTTAAGTACTGAGCTATGGTTGAGTAAGTGTGGGGCGGGGGAGGGAGGGAAAGAGTGGAAGGAGTGGATCGTGACCTTTGACCTGATACACAGGATGAAACCCATCATTTTGGAAAGACTGAGGCTGGTACACTGGGAAGCCTTGGAGGATCCAGGCATGCACCTACATGGGGAGGGGAGCTCTCAACAGATGTCAGTGCCGGCCGGCCAGAAGGACCACGAGTGGGCCCTGACACCTAGCCAGGGGACTGTTTGGATGCAGAGGGAGACAGCGGGGTCAGGGAGGCTAGCTAAATGGACAAGTTTTCCATGGAGCTACAGGATTTAAAACGCTGTGCAAGACTGGCAAAGGCAGGGGAAGTTTCAGAGCTAGAAGTGGGCTTTAATGGCATCCATCTTCTGCCGTTTATCACTCTGCCCTATGTAGTTCTGAGTCAGCAAGAATTTTAATGTGAAAGGTACCTTTTTAAGGCCACTGAAATCCATTGCCTGATTTACACCGTAGCCAGATGCTATTAAGAAACTTACTAGTCTCTTTGGTTGATTTCTCCCCCAGGATAAAGTGTGTTTGAGAGTATGTAAAAGCTATCTAATGTTGTAGAATACTAGTTAAAGATGTGTTACATTCGTTAATGCCGTGGAATATTTGTTTAATGATGCACAGATGTGTTGCATTCTTTTATGCTACATTTGTTTAACCCTGTGAAGCTGTGTTACTGTGCCTGTCTAAAACACCTGATTGGTCTGATAAAGAGCTGAACGGCCAATAGGTAGGCAGGAGAGAGAGAGAGGTGGGGCTGGCGGGCAGGGAGAATAAATAAGAGAAGAGAGAAGAAGAACAAGGATGGAGAAAAGAAGGGGAGGAGGATGCCAGAGGCCAGCCACCCAGCCACCCAGCCACCCGGCCACCCGGCCACCCGGCCACCCAACCAGCCACCCAGCCACCCAGCCACCCAGCCACCCACCCAGCCACCCAACCACCCGGCCACCCGACCACCCGGCCACCCGGCCACCCGGCCACCCGGCCACCCGGCCACCCGGCCACCCAGCCACACAACCAGCCATGGAGTAAGAAGGGAAGAAAGACCTATAGAAAAAAAAGAGTTAAAAAGAACAGAGGCAAAATGTAGAGGAGAAACAAATTAATTTAAGTTAGAAAAGCTGGATAGAAACAAGCCCAGCTAAGGCTGGGCATTGATAAGGAAGAATAAGTCTCCATATATTTATTTGGGAGCTGAGTGGCAGGCCCCCAAGGGATAAAGAATAAAAAAATCCAACTGCAATCTAGGGGGGAGTCATTAGATAGTTGAGAGCGAGGTACCCATCATGAGGCCTGTGAATCGAGCAAGTGGAGAAGAGTAAGAGAGACAAGCCTCCTCGCACCTCCCAAGTTCTCAGAGGTGGGACCAATGTCACAATGGGCAGGTCAAACACAATACTGAGTATTCGCCCAAATACACAGTGCTTTGAGCAATAGTCCTGGACCGTGCCCCGGGAGGCACCTAACTCAGCGTGGGATTTTACTTGGTTCAGAGACGAGCAGGTGCCAAAGACGTGAAAGACTCATCAGTTTAGGGCAGGGGCCTATGCTGGGTGTGGAGAGGCAGCAGCAAGAGAAGGGGGAGGTCCCTAAAGTGTTAGCATTTCCATAGAGCTCCATTTGAGTCTCCTGCACCATTATGAAGACTTTGGAGCGGGCCAGTGTTTTAAGGGTTTCTATTGCTGGAACAAAACAAAACACTATGACCCAACAGCAAGTTGGAGAGTAAAGGGTTTATTTGGCTTATACTTCCACATCAGTATTCATCACTAAAGGAAGTCAGGACTAGGAAATCAAACAGGGCAGGAACAAAAGTTGGTGCAGAAGTCATGGAGGGGTGTCGCTTACTGGCTTGCTCCTCATGGCCTGCTCAGCCTGCTTTCTTATAGAACCCAGGGCCATCAGCCCATGGGTAGCACCGCCCAAAATGGGTTTGGACCTCCCCCATCAATCACTAATTAAGAAAATGCTCTACAGGCTGACCCACAGCCTGATCTTATGGAGGCATTTTCTCAGCTGAGGTTCCTTCCTCTCAAATGACTCCAGCCTGTGTCAAGTTGACACTAAACTAGCCAGCACAGCTGGGGTTCAAGAGGAAGGCTGAGACCGATGATTATGGAGTAAGGAATTTATTAGAAGAATTACTAATGCCATGACAGAGAGGCAACCGCTTGACTGGGGTGGAGGGAGTGGGGCCCAGGGCCACAAAGGGTTCCATTTGGGGGTTTCTAAAAGGAATAAGAGCCTATGTGGCACCTGTAGGGTCTCTCTTTATAGATTTCTGGGGATGGGGACAGAGTTCACAGTATATGTCTGCAGCCAGGTTTTCTGATTCCCAAGCAGGGAAGGGAGATGGGGAGCAGAAAGTGTGGCTACCAATGCCCTTTTGGATGTGAACTCACTTTCTAGGAAAGAGCCTGGCACTTGGAAGTCTCTTAGTTCAGGACCTGCGGCTGTAAACACTGAAAATCTAACAGTAATAATGGTAATAGGAATCCTTTCAGTAATTTAGCTTCAGCAGTCCCATGCAACAATTATTCATGTAAGTAACACTGGGAGAATTGAATGCATATATAGTATAAATCTAGAATATTTCTAGAGTAGGTAATTTGTAACTAAAATTTGACATCTGGCTTTTGTAAAGAAAGAAAATATTTCACACGCTAATTTAATAATCATTCATTGGTAAATACACAAGGGTATAAATAGTCCACAATTTAACTTCAGAATTCTTCTGCAGAAACCTGGATTTTGAGGTCTCTTAGAGATTTGATAAATCCAGTCTCTTATGATCTCATTTGACTGACTGGAGCCTGAGCAGAGAGCATGTCCATTTTCTGACACCCAAGTCTGCTCCAGTGTGCAAGGAATCCACTTCGGTATTTCTCTGTGTTATGCCATTATTCTGTGTTAGTATTTGAGTCTACAACCCTTTGCTTGTGGTATATTGTGATATAAGTTTCTAGGCTTTCAACATTATATTAAAGTGACATGTTAAAATTTTTCTTGGCGGGAGCTCTAGAGCTGGTTTGGCAGATAAGAGCCCTTGCTGCTCTTTCAGAGGAGCAGAGTTCAGTTCCCAACCCTCAAGTCAGGCAGCTCACCATCACATGTACCTCTAACATGAGGGAAAGCTGATACTCTCTTCTGGTTCCCACAAGCACCCACATATACATGCACATACTTACATGTGGACAAACAGACATATAAGTGAATAAAAATTTCAAAGATCTCAAAAAAAAAAATCTCTAAGAGTATCCTTGGGCTGGGAATGTAGCTTCTTGGCAGAGTGATTGCCGAGCGTGCTCACAGCCCTGTTTCATTTCCAGCCTGGCAAAGGTTTCTCTTGTCTATACTGTAAGTAATGAAATTCCTATTGGAATATCTGTAGGTCTTGCTTGGTTAATTATACTACCTAGACTGACAAGATGGGCATATTGCAAGCAACATTTTTTCTCTTCCACATTACCCCTTAGACATGAGTGATTTGGCCTTTGTCGTATTATAAATTATATATCTGTACATCTATATCAGTTTTGGAATTTCATTGAGAAGTCATTGGCTTTTAATTTATGGCTTATACTTTGACTAAAGTGAAAAGTAACTGTGAACAGTAATTAAAATAGAGTCATAGTAAACATGAATGAAAAATGTTAGACAATCCAGGATAGGTGTACATCCCTGTGATCTCAACACTTAGGAAGCTAGAGCAAGTGAAGCTTGAGCTCAATCCACCCTAGGCTATAAGAATGAACCTGAACCCCCAAAAGAGTAGTACTGGAGTCACAGTATTATTATTAGATGTGAGAAAACATTTGTACTGAACTTTCTAACAGCTCAGACATTCTTCAACCTGTAATATCAGAAAACCCACAGATCATGTGAAGTCCTTTTGAAGATGTTAGATGTAATTACAAGCCCATTTCCGTAGTGACCTACATGGAGTGGGAGACCAAACATAAATGGTCCAAGAACACAGGTTGAGGTTACCCTAAATTCCTACTCTGAATGTTCCAAAGTGGAAGCGGTTTCATAAAACGTTTATCGTAATTGAACAAAGAAGTCATAAATAAAGACAGTTTTCAAATTCATTGATAGAAACAGCTGAATGGTTAAAGCCAAGAGGAGAAATCTCTGCTATGGATGGGCCTCAGATGCTATCTGACGACACTTAGCCTTTTGGTTGGTGTGGGCTAGATGTCTGTTTGTAATTGGATTTTACCTAATGATCAAAAGATGTTAGCTCACACACATAGGAGGGTAACTCATGTTTATTAAGAGGGCTAAAGATGGCCTAAGATAATCTGGCTCTGGACTGTGACATTCTAAACTCTTTACAATTGTTGAATGTCTAATCAGTTAATTAGCCTTGCAGAAGGGTGAGTGGAAGGCACAGCTGCTTTCTGAGAACCTACTTTCACATTTGCAAGGTGTCCTCATGACCTGAAGGTAGTGTCTTAGAAAAGTCTTAACACTTTCCTCAACCTGCTTCTTCAAATGCTAAGGATTGGCTCAAAGTGCATTGCCAAATGAGAAATAAGCCAAAACTAAAGTTACATACACTGCATGGTGTTTCCACATTTCACAATTGTTGGAACACAGTCCAAGAATAGAGCCATGTGAGAATTCTGAGTGCTTGTGAGAAAACTCCAAGAAAACAAGAATCTCGTGACCTCAGTTTCTTCAAATCATGGAATTGTTCTGGGAATGTTTTCATGCTCCCCCAGGTAAAGTGGACAAGAGTGAGTTTACTTCAGGTGTGTTACTCCTCATTTGCCTCTGTAGAAAAACATGTTTTTGCCATGTGTGGCTTGTCCTTGTGATTGAACACCTTACTCATGGGACTTTTCTTAACCCCCAGACTATAAATTGTCTGATGCTTTGAATAAAGTTGGCTGTTGCATGAGACTTTAGACCGCTTCATTTTTAGGCCCCATTCTCCCAGGTTCACTCCACCAACTAGAGCAGTAAACAGCTAATCATAGTCTTCCTATTGCAACATGATACTTCTGCAATGGAAATAGTTTTGGGGCTCTAGACAAGAAAGTGTAGCTCATTAATCCCATAAAGCAATGAAAGTCTTTGCTACTGTGTTTGTGATTGGGTGTTTTGAGATAAAGATACAGCCCTTGTTCTCAAGAACATTAGGGTTTAGATGGACACAATTATATGACTCCAAAATACCAAGATTAACTTAGTAATGGGAGCAAAGTTTTATAGAAGCAAAATTATTTCAAGTGAAGTTTGCAGAGGACTAGGGTTCATGTTACAACTGTAGACAGGGAGCAACATTTTGAAGAGAATGTAAAGCGTGCACGGCAGCATAGTAGCTTGAAAAGGAAAGGGTGGCTTTTAATGCACTCTCTTTACCCCTATATCTCTAGCCCTCATCTTAAAACTGTCTGTTTCATATGTTTGTGTCCCTGGAGTCTTTGCGAAATGTAAGTTTATTTTGCTGTTTTACAGGATAACCTCACACCACTACTGCTTGCTCTCAGGGAAGACAGGCTGAAGATGGCAGAATATTTAGTAAGGATGAAAGCAAGTGTACATGCAGTTGACTTTCAGAGAAGGTAGACTCATTTGACTTAGAGAGAGAGACCTTTAATGTTATTCTAAAATGGAGACCACCATGCACATACAAATATTACATTATTAGGAACAATAAGATTAATTTATAGGAATATACTGAAAACCAAACATGTATTATCTGTTAGGTAGATTTTCTTTTCTTTTCTTTCCCCTAAGACAGGGTTTCTCTGTGTGACTCTGGCTGTCCTAGAACTTGCTCAATAGACTAGGCTGGCCTTGAAAGCAGAGATCTGCTTGCCTCTGCCTCATGAGGGCTGAGATTAAAGGCATTAGCCACCACACCCAGCTTAGAATTTCAGTAATTCAAAGTAAGTGATATATAATAGGGTTCATACTCTCATTAATATTGACTAATTTCTCTAATTCTTAATCGGATATTAGTACATATGATCTTATATTAGCTAAACTGTATTAATTTTGTTTTAATATACTTGTCTTTAGAAAATTCTATATTGAGTGTAAAGTTAAAAAATAATTGTATATTAGTTACTTTTCATATAGGCGTGACATAATACATGACATTAATTAATGGGAAATTAGTGGAGAGAAGATTTATTTGGCTCGTGTACTCAGAATGCATTGTCTGTCTTGGCAGGGAAACCATGATATAGTATCCCCATGATGGGGAGAATATGGGAGAACTCCTCCCAAGGATTCCTGTGTACCTAACATCTCCAACCACCCCAAAGGTCTCCTTTGTAAGTTAAAATCCCATCCACAGTTCAACATACAATTCAATCAGGAGCTCTATGCAGGAAATTCCAGGTTGCTCCTCACTGCCCAGCCTCATGGGTTTATTTTTCTTCCTGAACCCTTGTGTATACCCCCACAATCTTATATAACTCTTTCGTTCTTTGTGCCAGCACCACATGGATGATGTCATCATATGCTACCAGACTGAAATACAGCAAACTCCCTTAGATCTTGGCTGGCATCACTTCCCTGTGCTGTGTGGCTAAACCAGGCACAACACATCCCTAATATATAAAAAAATGTAACCACTTACAACCACATGGGTGGTTGTAAGATCATTCATCTGGCTGTGGTAGCACATACTTTAAATCCTAGCACTCAGGAGACAGAGGCAGGTGTATCTCTGAGTTTGAGATCAGCATGATCTACATAGAAAAACAAACATATTGAGTCCCTGTCTGGAAAAAAATTAATATATATCTTATCTCAGTGCCTATCAGTGGTAATCAGCATCATTAACTGAAAGTACCATAACTATCTTTGCCATTATTTTATCAATATCATTTTATATTGTTTCTTTTATTATATTAATCACAAATTATTTTACTTAATTAACATGAGTATAAATTACAATATATTACATTAAGCTATTAAAGAAATGGAGAAATCTCATAAATCTTGATGTACTTCAGATACGTTTTTCTTATTACCATAGTTGTCCATCAGAGAATATTAAGTTGGGAATCCTATTAGGTAATAGAATAGTAGGAAAGAAGTCTACCAGAGTGTTTTGTCTTTTTAGCTTTGAAGATAACTTACAATGTTGAATAATGGATCTCCCCAAAATACTTAGGTCTACTAACAGTTCTACACAGTTGTGCAAGCTATTTGGTAAAGTATATCCAATAATCATTCGGATATTTATATTAAGGTCTGTAACTGAAGTTATTTTTATTTTAGAACTTCTCTCATGTATGCTGTAAGATGTGATTCATCAGTTATGGTCAATCTTCTTCTTCAACAAGGTGTTGACATGAATTTTAAAGATTTCTTTGGATGGACTGCTTTACGTTATGCTATTGAAGGTGACCGTGAGGTGTAAGTAATTCTAATTAATATTGTTTCAAGTAATTACACTAGGTGAGATTTCATTGTTGGTTTAGGTAGTTTTGAAATGGAAAGGAGTTACTTCACTTCATCAGCTAGAAACCAAGCAAAAGTATGCATTATTTAGAAGTAGAAATGGGTGCAGGAAATTTTAATCCCAAGATATGTTTGATTTTTAATAATGTTGGGATTGAATACAGGGTCTGTATGCAAAGCAAGTATTATATCATTGAGTTACATCCTTAACTTGTCTCAGGAGTTTGAAGATCTTCATACTTAGGGATTCCAGAATGCTCCATTTCATTCCAAACATAACCCTTGTGCATCAGACACAGTGCCACATTTTGAACTTTTAATGGTTTACTGTAGTCTTATAATGTCCATGTAACCAGAAAAATCCTTAAAAACTTTCTGTACACTGCTACTTGAAATTCCAAGAAACTAACTAGTTCTGTATATACAAGGGAGTCAACCCTCTTTCACAAGTCAAAGGAGAAAAGGTAGAAATTCTAGTCATGTCTCTTTTTTTCCTTGTTGATTCTGTTGTTACAGTTCTGCTATTAGTGGATCCTACAACACAGGAATGATTCACAGCTTACCCCATGATTGCCCTTATTGATTCAGATCCCTGAGTTTTTGTGGCAATATTCACATAATCATTAGAACAGTTTCTTCATTTCATATGTTCTTTATAAGTTAGGATATTGTGGTGGTTTGAAAGAAAATGGTTCCCAAAGGGAGTGGCACTATTAAGAGGTGTGACCTTGTTGGAGGAAGTGTGTCACTGTGGGGGTAGGCTTTGAGGTCCCTTTTGCTCAAGCTTCCCTGAAAGTGACAGTCAGTTGACTTCCTATTGTCTGCAAGATGTAGGACTCTCAGCTACCTCTCCACCATGTCTGACTGCACACCATCATGTTCCCCATCATGATGATAATGGACTGAACCTCTGAAACTGTAAATGAGCCACCCCAATTAAATGTTTTCTTTACAAGAGTTGCTGTGGTCATGGTGTCTCTTCACAGCAATAAAAACCCTAAAACAGATATTATTCTAAAGGTGCTCTACTTGAACAGCTAAGAGTCTTAACTTACCCATTGACAGTAAACTGACCCTTCCCATCCATTCACAACCTTAATTTGCAGTCAACATGTGAACCTAGACCTTCATGATTGGTTACCTAAGAGGATTTGGGCTATTCTTCCATCAAGTATGTGTTGTGACCTCTCCAAAAAATCAGATAGTGTCCAGTAATTTTGCAAGACAAGATCAAAAGTTCTATTCTTCTTTAACAATGAACTTTACCCAGAAACTCCTTTATATTCTGATTAGCCCCATTTCCAAGTTAGAATGAACCCAAATCACTCTCCTCAGGGGAGATTCCAACTCTTGCTTGGCCACTTGAGTGATTTTTTTTCCATATCAATGACAATCTTCCAAGCTATGTGAATCTGCCCTTCAAGATTTCAATATATTTTCAAATTTTGCCTCACAAGTAAGCCACCAAACAGAAGATGACCTGTATTGGCAGACATAAGTCCCATGATGTCTTATCAGTATGCATGCATAAAAAGATTCCATCTTCTGAACCAGATGGTGTTCAAATAGTGGCTCAAATAAGAAATCTGTCTCTTAGTCTTAGACATTTGGACACTTGGTCCCCAGTTGGTGGCACTGATTGGGGACCCTAAAGTGGCACAGCCTTGCAGGAGGAAGTGTGTCACTGGGGGCGGGCCTTGACATTAAGACCCTCATATGACTTCCAGTTCACTTTCTCTGTTTCATATTTATGTTGGAAGATGTGAGCTCTCAGCTTCCTGCTCCTGCCCCCTTGCCTGCTACTTGCTTCCATACTTCTCTGCATGATGGACTCATTTTTTTTTTCTGGGTGGTTTTTTCTTTTGTTGAAAATAGGTTCTTTTCTCATACAATATATCCTGATTATTGGTTCCCCTTCCTTTACTCCTTCCAGTTCCTCCCCACCTTACTTCCTCTCTGTAACTACTTCCTTTCTGTCTCTCTTTAGAAAAGAATAGGCTTCTAAGAGATAACAACCAAACATGAAACAATAAAATTATTATATTTTTATATTATAAAATAATATAAATTATAAAACAAAAGCAATCCTATCAAAGTTGGACACAGCAATCCAACAGGAGGAAAAGAGTCCCAAGAGTAGGTACAAAAGTCAGAGACCCACTCGTTCTCACCGTCAGGAATCCCATAAAAATACTAAGCTAATAGCTATAATATATGCACAAAGGACCTAAGTGTAGACCCATGTAGGCCCTGTGTTTGCTGCTTTAGTCTCTGTGAGCTCATGTGTACCTTGTTTAGTTGATTCAGAGGGCCTTGTTCTCCTGGTTGTTCTCCCTCTCCCCTGTCTTTTACAATCTTTCCACCTCCTCTTCTGCAGGATTCCCTGAGTTTTGTGTATGTGTGTATGTGGGGGGGCGGATTTGATGGAGAACTCCCATTTAGACTCTCTCTCCACATAGCTCTAGCTGTGAGTCTCTGTATCTGTTCCCACCATGATGGACTCATTCCTTTGTATTCATAAGCCAAAATAAACCTTTCCTTCTATCGGTTGCCTTGGTTATAGTGTTTTACTACAACATCAGAAAAGTAGGTGATCCAGTGGCAACCATGACAGTTCTAAGCATCCTTGTAACAATGGTCCATGGATTAAGACTGGATTAGGTAAAGCAGAAATATTTAGGTTTTGAAATTTAATAGTTTTAAAATTTTTGGTATGATTTATTAGTTCAATAATAATGAATAATCATTTTACTAACTTAATAAGATTATATATTAATATAAATTTTAGTTTTAAACTGTTCAATGGCTACTACTCTCTGAACTACAAACCACACATAGCAGAACAGCTAGTAAACATACTTGCACTTCACATTTGCTGAAAGCTGTAACATTGGAGCATTAGTTTCTGTGAAGAAAAACACATGTAGGTTTCATTTTGGTTTTCAAAGCAATTTACTGTTAAGATACAAATTATTCTATTGTTTTTCCATTTGCCTCTTAATATTTTCATATTGTTAAGTCTTCATAGTAACTTGGTGAACCAAAGCAGTAAAGTCCTTATTTTTTAGACGTTTAAGAGTTTTACCACGAGAGAAAACATATCTAAAAACAGTTGTTAGTTATGAAGCTAGGACTGTATCAGAGTTCATGATACTTCCCATTTTGTCAAGATGACCTAGTGCATGTGCTGTCTTTGATTCATCACCATTTCTTTGTTATTTCCTTATCTAATTAAAAGTTTAATAAAATATATTCAAGTTCAGAATTTTGAAGACTATACCAAAATACCCTGATACCAACTGAAACACTCTTAATGATTTAATATGTTTTTGACATGTTTTTCACACCATTATTGAAATAATGATTGCATGGACCACATTTTTGTATATGACAGGAGGACAATACTTTTGGAGTATGAGCGTAACCTAAAACAAAGCTTAAGAGAGAAGAAGAATTCAGGTAAGACATCTTTTGGTGGTTGTATTCCAGATGAAAATGTCAGAGTAAGAAAGTTCTAATTCTAAAAGAAAAGTTTTCAAAACCAACTGTAAATTTTATTTATTTTTCTTTTCTAGTTTAGAGTTCAGAATTATGAAGAAATTAATTATATGGCATTTTCAATCTGAAACAGTATTATCTTATGAGAAAAATGGTTTACTAATTTTGCCACTTAAAATCTTTTATGTTTCTGTATATATAAGAAAAAAATTCTCAAAATTAGTATACCATATGTCACAGTAATCATCACATTGTAGCAAATTGGGCACATTATAAAATGGGTTTTAATTGTTTATGAGAATGTATTGCATTACATAGTTGAACCTTGTTTACTTGGCTATATATGTGTCAGTAAACATGAATAATGTTAAAACATTTTATTGTTTTCATTTCTATGTTGTTAGTTTAAAAACTTGGCTTTCTGTATTTTCAAACTATTCAGTCTAGACTATAACACTCATTTAATGTTTCTGTGGTTTTAAATAATTTTTCCTAGTATTTGCACATGAATGTAATGTGTTTTTATCAAACATTCCCATTTCTTCTACTCCAATTCCTTGCCTATAACACCCATAACTTTTCCTTTCCGGTTTCATGTGTTCCCCTTCCTCTTTTAATATCCATTTCATGTTGCCTATATGTGCATGGACGTGGTACCATCGACTAATGATGGGTAGCTGCTCAGGGCCAACATCCCTGAGGAAAATGGACTGTTTCTCCACAAGTCATACATGCCAATAGCTCCTCAGGTTGGCATGGGACCTATACAAGATCAAGTCTGTGACTTTTTAAATGTCCCCATTTCAAGTGACTACCTCTTGTTATAATACACAGAAATACTAGGTTAGCCAAATATATATCAGATTAAAAATCATCAACTCTACTAGGTAGTGCTAGGGATTGAATCTAGAGCCTCATTCTAGGTAAGTGCTCTAACCCACTAATCAGTGATTCTCAACCCTTCTAATGCTGCAACTCTTTAATTAAATTCCTAATGTTGTAGTGATCCCCAACCATAAAATTATTTCATTGGTACTTCATAACTAATTTTGCTACTGTTATGAATCATAATGTAATTATCCAATATGCAGGATATCTGATATCCAATCCCCAAAGAGGTTGTCATCTACAGGTTGAGAACAATTATGACTAGTTACTCAAAGCAATCTCATTAAAATGAGGCATGGCTTTCCATTATCCCTACTCCTTAATATAGTACTTGAAGAACTAGCAAGTGCAATAAAAGAAGAAAAAGAAATTAAGGGGATAAAAATAGGAAAAGAAGTTAAATTATTGGTATATATCTCTTATTATACATAAGAGATCCACAAAATTCCACCAGAAAATTTCTAGAAATGATCAACAATTTCAGCAAATGGCAGGATAAAAAAAATCAACTTAAAAAATCAGTAACTTTTCTATGATAGCAACAAACACACTGAGAAAGAGAGCATGGAAACACACCCATTCACAATAACCTCTAAAAAAGTGTATAAGAATAAACCTAACCAAGAAAGTGAATGAAAACTAAATCTTTGAAGAAAGAGGTTGAAGAAGAAACTAAATAGTTGAATGACACTCCATGCCAATGGTTTGATAGAATTGTGCTGTGAATGACCTAAATTGCTTTCTACCTAAAGCAATTTGTAGATTCAATGCAATCCCAATAAGATTCTCATCTCATTCTTCACAGAAGAAAAATCCTAAAATTCTTATAGAACCACAAAAGTCCCCAGATAACCAAAGTAATCCTGCTTCAATTTTGTTTGTTTGTTTTTCATTTAGGATAATGCTGGCTGTGAGCTTAGGTAGAGTAGAATGGATCAAGTCATGTACGAGGGAAAATCCACCAGAATAACAACAGCTGATTTCTCAGTAGAAACTTTAATCAGTAGAAGAGCCTTGAAGAATGCACTTCAAGATCTAAAAGACTGCAGATGCCTAGATTACTGTACCCAGCAAAACTATCTACCATAGTTGAAGGAGAATGAGAAACTTCCCATGATACAAATAGGCTAAAAGACTTCAAACCCACTGTTGGGCCCCAAAGGCCTGGTTGTGAGGTCCAGTGTAACTTCCCGAGCCTAGCTCGAGTTTGGTGACCTGTCCTGGGACATGACTTCTGAATACGAGTGACTCAGCACTACCTGACCAAGAATCGCCTCTGCCTAATAACTGCTGAGGTGGCATCATCTCATTGACCCACTATCCTCAACTCATCCCCCCGTCACCCCAACCTATATAAGTTCACTCCTGATGCAATAAAGCGAGTTCCTGCGACAAGACTCCTGGTCCAGTGTGTTTCTCTCTGGTGGACATGGGGAGGTCTGGGCCATCCAACACTCATTATCCTGCTCAGCCCGGGGGAGAGACCAGCTGGACCGGTCCTGCCTCTGCCCTACCTGTCAGTCAGACCGACAGACTGGTGCCCCATGTGAGGAATGGAAGAACACTGAAGGGCCAATGAGTTTATGGGTGAGTGTACCCCCATAAGATATTGGGCAGTCTTCTTCTAAACTAAATCCTGCCTTGGAGTCCCTGAAAATACTGCTAAAGAGCAGGGGTCTCAACCTCTCTGATAGGCATTCCAGACATGGACATACCTCATTAAGGTCGCCCCATGGTTGCCTGATGGCCATCTTTTCGACTAGGTCACCTGGGATAGAATAGAAACCCTGATTCACAGGGCCAGGGTTGATAGAGGAGAGATTCCTCTGTTGGGAGCTATTCCCATTGTTACCACCTTAAAAGGCTGCTTCCTACCAAGGCCCATTAAGAAGAAACGGCCCATGGATACCTTGGAAAGCTCTAAGAAAGGAGACATAAGTCTGGAGCCCTACAAGGAGAAGGGGCCTGTAGGGAAACCTCAAGGAGAGGAGACAGAGCCCAGGGAGAAAAGAGACATAAAAATTCAGGCCACACCCAAACCAAAACCCCTGAGTCAGCCTGGCTCATCTGGCTTGTTTTATCCATCTCTTGATCCCTTTGATGCTGCCCCTGGCTTCAAACGTCCGCTCTTGCCTACCAATCTGTTCCTCACCCACTCCGTCCCGAATTCCATCCCCCTCCCCACAATCTGTCTGCACCTCCGCCCTACTCTGGGTGGGGTGCAGCCCCAGGGGATGTGACTGGCTTCTTTCCTGTTAATATTAACCCTGGTGGCAATCGTGCACTTGCCTGGGAGGCTCAGGACCTTAAGGACCTTAAAAAGGCCATTTCAGAGGATGGGCCAAATTCCCCTTGGGCTGAGACTATCCTTCTAGGTCTGGCTCATCAAGCTTGACCACTCGGGATTGGAAGGCCCTCACCAAAGCAGTCCTTCCTGGACCTCTCTACTTGAAACGGGATGCCTTCTATCTAGAGGAGTGCAGGGTCCAGGCAGAGAGAAATCAAGCGGCCAACCCTCAAATCCCTATCACCTTTGGGATGCTGTCCAGTACCCCTGACCAGTACTCCACTGGCCTCCAGCAGGCCGCCATCCCTGCCCCCTATCAAGATCAAGTTAGGGCACTTGGGATAGCTGCTTGGGAAAAATTGAATGAAGGCCCCACAGAGGCTCCTGTATCCGGGGTCCATCAGAGATCAGGCGAGGACTTAGTGACGTTTGTTGAAAGGGTCAATGAGAGTCTCCAGAGAAAGTTTCCTCCTGGGGAGCCGAGGGATAAATTTGTTAAAATGTTGGTGTGAGATGGCATGAACACTGATCATAAGCTTGCCTGTGCTGGATTGAGAGATCAGGAAATTAGCAAATGGATTGCTGCCTCCCGAGATGTTGGCTCTACTTCTCACCAGGCCCAAACCATGGCCATAGCCATGCAGGCAGCTAATAGGGAACAGATGACAACCTTAGTCAATGCCCTCCAGCAAGTCTCCATGGGAGGAAAACGGTCCTGCTTCGGTTGTGGGGAGGAAGGCCATTTTAAAAGAGAATGTCCTAACCATGCTAAGGGCACCTCCATGGTTCCTCCCCAATCAGGCCTGCCCCACACCCCATGCCTCAGGTGTAAGAAGAGGTTCCCCTGGGCAAAAGACTGTATATCTAAATTCAACCTCCAAGGGGTGCCTTTAAACTCCCCCAGGAGCAATCCCCAGCCCCATTAAATAAGGGGAAAGAGGTGGTCAAAGCCCACTGGTGCCCGGATTAAGGCCCAAGATGACCCTAACCATTGAAGGAAAAACCTTTAATTTTATCATAGACACTGGGGCTGACCACATGGTCATCTGAAAGGAGGAAGTCCCCTCCTCTTGGCAGTTGGTTCCTGGACCCCACATGCTTGGTGTGGGAGGGCATTCTATGTCATGGGAGACAGCTAATTGGTTGTCCTGGACTGACCCTGATGATAATCACGGGGAGGTGCATCCCCTTGTGGTTCCTGGTGTAACTGACAACCTTCTTGGCCAGGACATCCTTGGGGAAGCTAAGGTCTTTATCACCATAGACCATAAGGCCACTTATCAGGACATTCTTGACACTAAAGAGTACCAACAGCAATTTGAGGAGGGGCAGGAAACACACCCCAATTATAGGGATGACCCCGATTTTGAGAAGCTCAGACAAGAAGTTCACCCTCAATTCTAAAGGCCACTGCTTGCCCCCTGGTGCCAAAGATTCAGTGGACACCTGGGGAACCTGTATGGGTTGAGCAGTGGCCTCTACCATCCTTTAAATGACAACAGCTTGAAGCTCTGGTTAAACAACAATTGTTCGGCCCCTGGAACTCTCCTGTTTTTGTTATAAAAAAAAAAAGGCTAATGGTTCCTGGAGATTCCTGCATGACTTAAGAAAAATCAATGAAAGAATGGTCCCTTTTGGGACCCCCCAAAGGGGACTTCCCTGGATACCTGCCATCCCTAATACCTATTATCTGTTATTGATATTAAGGATTGTTTTTTCTCTATTCCATTACATCCAGATGATATGGAGAAGTTTGCATTCTCCCTTCCCTCTACCAATTTCTGGGGCCCAGACTTAAGGTTCGAGTAGACCGTTTTGCCCCAGGGGATGGCTAACAGCCCCTCTATGTATCAGTACTTTATGTCACATATTTTTTTCCTCCCTGATGGGATGCCCCGACATTTTATTTTATATTTACATGGATGATATTATTCTTGGAAGCCCCACTTTGACGGGCCTTCAGGACCTCACCACTACTTGCCTTACCATTTTAAAAGATCATAATTTTAGAGTGACTCTAGATAAAGTACAGTCCATTCCCCCTTTAAAATTCTGGGCATTCTCCTGTTCCTTGATACAGTTTCCCCAGCTAAACCCCAGTTACTTATTCAAGATACCTATACCTTAACTCAGCTTCAAAAGATGCTGGGAGAGATAAATTGGCTGAGGCCATGGATCTCTGTGCCCACAGAGCAGTTAACCCCTTTAAATGAACTCCTTATGGGCCTTGACCTTTCATCCCAGATAACCTTATCCTCCCACCATTTACAAATCCTACAACAGGTTCAACAAGCCATTGGTACAGCGGCCCTAAGGAGATTCGACCCTGACCTGCCTGTCTCCCTGTGTATTTTTCCTGCGGAAACCTTATGCCCTGTGCTGTTAGTACAAGAGGGGGAGCCCATTCATTGGGTTCACCTCTCAGTGGGTAGAGCCCCCCGGGTTTACTCCCTGACCAACCAGGTAGCTGATTGATTGCATTATTAAGGGCAGGGATATTTCTGTCAGGATATTTGGCACAGAAACTCATTTCTTTATCCTTCCATTTAAAATTACTGACTTCAAAGAAATGATAGCAGAATGGCCATAGCCCTTGAGGGGTTTCCAGGGAAGGTTGATTGCCATTATGGCCCTTATAAATGGATGAGTTCCTTCTCCTGTCTGGAGTGGAGGCCCCCTAGAATTTTTCTGCCCCACCCAAACCCCAATTTTCTTACAGTGTTTACTGATGGGGGACATTTGGGGGCCTCCTTAGTTGTGTTCCCACCCCTTGGACAAGGAGAGGAACCTATACCTATAAAAACAATCTCCCTTGAGGTAGAGGGGTCTGCACAGTTTAAGGAACTGTTTGCTGTTGTTATGGCATTAGATTCCATATCAGAGTCATTTAATCTATTCTCTGATAGCCTTTATGTTGTAAATCTTCTGTCCAACACCCCATGCCTCAGGTGTAAGAAGCCCATATTAAATTAGATTTCAACCCCATTTCTCCTCTTATGATTCAGGCTCTCTCCTTACTTAAACAGAGACTCAGTCCCATTTATTTGCAACATATTAGAGGCCACAAAAATTTGTCAGGATTTCTTTCCAAAGGAAATCAGCTGGCTGACTATCTGGCTTCTATGCCTCAATGTAATACTGTTACTGAGGCCACAGATTTCTACCTACTTACCCATGTTAACTGGAGGGGCCTAAAACATAAGTTTCCTCAGGTACTGGTTAAAGATCTCAAAAAAATTGTCCAGACCTGTAAGTCTTGTCAGCCCTTCCTTCATATCCCTCTCCTCCAAAAGATGGGGGGCAATCCCCGAGGACTTTGCCCCAATCATCTCTGGCAGATTGATGTCACACATTACTCTCCATTTGAAAAACTTAAATATGTTTTTCTTTCCACAGATGCTTTCTCCCATGCCTGTTGGGCATCAGCCCATGCTGGGGGAAAAATCCAAACATGCTATTAGCCATATGCTTCAATGCTTTGCCACCCTTGGTTTACCCAGCCAAATCAAAACAGATAATGGCCTGCTGCAGGCCGCAGGAATATATCATAAGAACTCAGCTGGTTATGACAAAGTCACTACCTGAAGGAATCAGGGAATTCCTCCAGAGGAAGCCAAATCCCAAGGAGTTTTTGGTGTTACTTGGCTTGTTATATATCAGCTGTATTCTGTTATGAAAATCATGTGTGCCTTCATAGTTTTCCCAATTGACTTTTCCCTAAGAAGGGCTAACAGTGTGGACTGATCACTCTCTGGTCATACACATTCCAGGTATTTGGAGAACAGCCTCGGGAAAGGCTTTCTGTGGAATCAGATATCTCCCTTAGCCACTTTCAAGGACTACAGGAAACACCACCCAGGTGGGTGCCCAACTTCCGAGGACTAACAATGATAGCAGCCCACATGCAAGTCTCCTGACTTAAGGTAAATTCCACAAGGAGACACCACCTAGGAGAGGTGGATGTTAAGTAATAGCTTTACACAATTTAACTCGGACCCTCCCTTTATATACTGGGACTTCCAGGGCACAGGACAGAGAAGAGAAAAGAGAATGGAAGAACTAGATGGGTAAGAAATTGAGAGGAATAAACTAAGATGGGGAAAAACTAGA